TATGTTAAAACTTGAATCGATCGGGCTTCGAAATACAAAAACTCAAGTCCGAGTCCGAGTCCTTTAAAAAAATCTCCAGTCCGAGTCCAAGTCCGAGTCCGCCAAAAAATCTTCCAGTCCGGACTCGAGTCCGAGTCCGGACTCGGACTCGCCCATGCCTGGTACATAGCGACAACTGTCCGACTTCATCGTCATTCGCTCGTAATACTATCCAATTATTATCTGAGGTAGTTGCTAGATCTCGTTACGTGTTACTAGTAACGGCACGTAACGGTTAACGGATTTCCATTTTCCATTACCGATAATGGGTAATGAAGTTCCGCTGCTTGCTACAATAACGATAACGGGAAAGGACCACCCCTAGTCCCCATCCACACCTCTCACCACACACTGCAAGAAATATGCAAATGGGTACTATGAGAAATTCGCGGTAATGTCGTCGTGGTGCTGTTGTCGCGGTACTGTGTTCGCGGTAATGTCGGTGTATCATATAAAGTCGCTCTTGAATATTTTTATAGGTTATAGACAGTAGTTATCAGCAGTCAAGCTACGTAGCTAAAGATGGGGTAAAATAAAATTTAAACGAGAACTATGACAAAAAGTATATGGGAGTGTCTCTCAAAGAACTAACGGTAAAAAATAAAATTGCATGATCCAAAGGATGAGAAATCATTCATTTATTTCAGAATCATTTTTCGTGAAAAGTTGCATGTGCTTGAAACGAAAAGATATCAAAAAATGAACAAAGATGAAAATCATTATCAAATCCTTGGCGTTGATCCAAATGCATCATTGGCAAAAATTCGTGAAGCATACCGAAAACAAGCGCTTCAACATCATCCTGATAAAAATTCAAACGATCCAAAAGCCACTGAAATGTTTAAATCAATTCAAAAAGCGTATAAAATGTTGTCAGATCCAAGTACACGAAACGAGTACAATTCTAACACTGATTTTGATGACGATGAAGGCAGTGATGATGATGATGTACTGTTTAACAACGATAACATTGAACGATTACACATGGGAAAAAAGTGGTCCGAAGATTTTGCAGAAAAAATTAATATTTGGACGCGAGAGTATGAACATATGTCCATTCAAAACAATTTTAAAAATGAAATAAAAAATGTTTTAAACGAGACGGTGGAACAATTTAGTGAATATTTTAATCCGGATGGACAAATAAACACGTACACCGAATGTGAAACATGCAAAAAAAGTTGCTTGAATTTAGACGATCATAATGACGCTGTTGTTCATCCATACACGAATTTGTTTAAACTTTCGCACTCACCTGCAGCGAGTACGATTTTAGATGAAAAAGTGGAAGCAGTCGTTAAACCAACCATTTTCAACTGGCAACCGGTTCGATTCACATCATTATGGACAAATTTGTGGTCAAATCCAGAATGGCAAAACAAGAAGAAAACAATTGAAAAATTAACTGAGTCAATTCAAATACTAAAATCGACAAAAGTAAACGATGATGCTTCATTCGTTTACATTGATGTTAATCGTACAAATTACAAAAAAATCGAAACATGTATTAACCAATTAACGAAAAAAGACCGATGCAATTATTTTGACGATACGCAAATTCCTAAACAAATCATAAAAATACTTAATGAGACGTGTCAAATGCAAGACAGAGAAACCAGTATTAATCGCCGACCAACTGGTAGACGTGTACTCATAATTAATAACAATACTCTATCTCCAGCTGATCGACAGTTGTTGGATAATCATATCAATATCAATGACTTTTATTATACTGTCCAAACTCCATCTGATCCCCTACCTGACAGTGATCAAACAAACTGCAACGAATGTGGTAAAAAATTTTATCTATTTCGTCAGCGCTATCATTGCCAAATGTGTGGCACAATGCAGTGTGACAATTGTCAATTACGGCAGAACATACCTCATTTAGGTTATGTTGAACCAGTTCGAATTTGCCGAATATGTGTCAAACAAAAACTTGCAGTTTTAAATGAAACAATGTTTGCTTGTCTTCAACGAATTATAAATGCGAATATCAACGCTCATTTTCCGGTTTATCTCGCACTTCTTCAATATTACAAAACACAAAATTTGTCGACGTACTACCGCCAAATTGCAGAGCGATTTTTTGCCTTGAATAATTATTCCTTAGCCTTACAATGTTACGTATATGCAGAATTAAAATGTCATGAATGGCTAGACATGATTGCACTTGCTTGTAAAAATCAAAACTATTCACTTGCTCGTACCTTCGTGGATATTGTAACAAAAATGTATTCCAAAGACAAGATATTCTGGTCAAAAACATTCGATGAATATTTGTCAATGATACCATCGGGTGAAAATGATACGTTTCATTATGCAACTATGAGTCTCTTGATTTATGATGCAACAAAATTTAACAATACAAGTTTATTGTCGAAATGTATCTTTTATGATAGGCAGAATAACTATGAAATGTGTCTTCTATTTTTACTTTATATGAAATCTCAACATTATACATCCATTGATTGGATACATATGGGCAAAGAGTTTATGCGTTCAGAAAATATACGATTGGCAGTATTTTGTTTTCAATCCGCTAATGTCTCTATGGAAAATTGGATTCGTCAGTTCGACCAATTATGTTCACAAAATGAAGAATATTCAATAGTATCATCAATGTTACCGTTGATGAACAAAATGGAAGTTCGAGATTCTTTTAGAAATGTTCAAATAAGAAATCCCGTCATTTATTATTTACGTAAAATATTACTGTCTCCGAATGAATCATTACATGATTGGCTAAATTATGCCGTTTTACTGATGAAACGAAATGAAGATAGTTTAAATATCATTTGGTGTTTAATATTTATACAAGCTCAATTTAATGTTGACTGGAATGCATTAACAAATGATTCGATTATACAAGATCAACGGGAAAAAGTATTACTATGTGTAAAAATGCAGCAATTAATTAATTCGAAAAATGACACTATCACAATGCTCGCATTGTTTAATAATAATGTCTTTAAAAAAGATCAATCGTTGCTAATGGAACTTATTCATATGTCCAGTATAGACTGGAAAATGGCCGGTGATTTTTATTTCAACGAGAATAGATACGAAAATGCTATAAATTGCTATTTACAGAGAAATACAGACGAGATGAACAGGTAAATAAGAAACAACTATGAAAAAACGTTTAGATTGCAATCATGTTACGTATAAGTTGCCGGTAGGTAAGCTGCATGCTTGATAACGTGAATTACACTCTAAAAACAAATGCGACTTCAATGATGTGTCTACTGAGAAAAAGTATCTTGCATGTGACTATATTGCGTCTTCAAAATAATAGGTGTCTTCTATATGTCTTCAATGTGTCTACTAGTAGACATATAGAAGTCACATTGGAGTCACATGGAAGACGTGTGAACGAGAAAGACGTTTAGTAGTCACATCATTCCACCTTCCATGTGTCTGTTTTTAATCAAGATCCTACACGAAATGTCAACGTAAGAGGCTAATAAGACTAAAAAATAATGTGCCTGTGTGGTTCAGTGGTGAACACATTCGTCTCGTAAGCGCGAATAGACCGAGTTCAATTCTTGACAGGAACAAAATCCTTTAATGCGTCTTTTCTAGAAGACACATCAAAGCGACTTCGACAAAGGCGCTAAAATACGACTAAGTGGGATCGGACTGACGTGTCTTTAATGTGACTAGAACGAACTATAAAGTGACTGCCAGGTAAAGTCACATCGTGTGTCTTCAGAGAAGACACTAAAATGCGGCTTTTTGGGATCCAACTTATGTGTCTTCCTAGAAGTCGCATTTTTTTAGAGTGTACACGTGCGAGAAACTAATCACCGTTTACTACACAGACAGGTGAAACAATTATCTGTTATCTTTGTCAACACATACAACAGTTAAAGTTCTTCACTTATCGGTGTGATGAATAGCACGCTCATTTTATATGCGTCAGTCAGTTCTATCTTTCCTTAAATTCAGCTAAATTTTTGTTAAAAAATGACAAAGTACCAACTCATTCTTCCTGCTTATGAAAGGCAAACAACCGGTCGAACTGAGCTTGAATGGGTACATTCACACTTCGTCGAATCTCCATTATCAAAAGCACCAGTTTTTTTAAAATTTCGACATTAAGCTGAGCACATGTTGAATTTACTGAAAGCGCTAAAGGCGTCACGATTCGCTAACGTCGCTACATCTCAAAAACGACTTTTCTTCGGACGAGGATTATTGTTGGAAATTTTTTTTCTCACAGAAAGCAGTATAAGAGCTCAGGTGACTGATTAAAAATCGAACCTTAGTGCTACATTCCTCTAATATGTTCCTACGAAATAAAACAAAGTCGAGCTCTTCAGTTGTTTTCTGTATGAGAAATTAACCCATTTTGATTACTGTTTTAGTCATATCTCCCGAACGACGATAGTAGAAGGGTTGAGATTTTTATCGCAACTACTTCTAAATAAGCCCAACATTCTCTGAAAATTTCAGTCGTCTTGTAATTATCGAGACAGGTTCTTGAACTTGGAAAAAGATTGCTTATAACGCGTATGAACTTGAGTGATTCCCAGAATGTAATAGCTTAAGCACCGCATTAATAATAAATAATTTTGTTTGTAATATAGTTATATCCTATCACAAGCTCTGAAGTGTGTTGACATCGATTTTACCGCCTTATACATAATTATTGTTTATCGTCAAACAAAATCAAATTCAAAATTTCTCGGACATATTATTGATAATCTATCTCAATCATTGCAGTTATCTAATGAAGTTAAAAAAGAATTATTCATTGCGACGATTCGAATCTATGAACATGTATTTTTTGATACAGTACCAATGTTTAAGTTTCATCTTTTTATACTGAGTGAATTAATTAAAGATGAAAAATTAACTGTAGACTATATTTCATTAATGAATGGTGGACTGCATTTTATTAATCGATATGAAAATTTGACGAGTGATTCAGTCGGTAGTTTAGTTGAAATGACTAAGAAATTTATGACAAAAATGAATATCATTGTTTATGATCAAATAAAAGCGGCTACCTATCTGACTATCCAAGAATTTGCAAAAATTATTAATGAAGATCGCAATCTTCAAGTTTTGAAAATTATACTGAATGATTGCCTTGGTAGACAAAAAATAGAGGAATTGACATCAGTACGCTATCGATCAATGTTATATATGATTCAAGCTCAAATATGTAGACTTGAAAATAATATACCACAATCATTGGTTAAGTTGCACGAAGCACTTCGATGTTGTCCGACGGATGATGTGACAAATGCTGTTATCTGCATGTTGAGAGATATTTATTTTCACGAAACAATTGTTCAACATTTAATTAGTGATATACGTAAAATGAAAATACATTTCGAACACACAGGCTTCATTACTCCACTCATTTCGCTTACTGATTTACCTGAGATGAGTGTTCAATCGACCGGTTTGAGAAAGACACCACGCTTGAATATGATAAGAAAATATGAACGAGCTATCATAAGACGAATGAAAAATGAATTGTTGAACGCTGCTCTATCCTATATTGATCTCTCAATGGCCGTTGGAGATCCAACATGTATCGCATCGAACTTTCTTATGGCTTCACTTTACTTTTATAAATTGTTACAACAAACTCGTGATTCGTCTAAAGCTTATGCCTATCGAAATGTTATTAATAATATTACAGTCCAAGTATATTTATTGTCTCGACGTTATTTACCTCCCCATATGCAAATTTATATGTTTAAAATTTCATTTACATTGATTACTAGAGCAACAGAAATATTTCAAACACACATTCATGCGACAAAAAAAAATCCAAATAACTATCATCCTCATATGTTAATAACGAGACAAATTAGAACAGTTCTTAGTGAATTACTGAAAAACATGGTAAATCTTGTCCAGGTAGCACCCTTGCACAAACTCTCACTATCACGTAGTTATGATTTAATCTATGTAGAAGTTGTCGGACAAGAATTATTCGCAAAATTTTTGATGGCTGCCATTGCAAAACCCAACGAGAATTTATTATCTTTACACGTTTATGAGTATTATCTGTTTGAGGGTGTATGGAGAGGATGGATGCAAGAGAAAACATTTGATGAGGCTCGATTTAACTGTATGCAATCATTATTATCTACAAAAAATTGGAATATGATCGACGTACAAAAGCAATTACAATGGTCACTGTTAACACGTACACATGACGGTTGGTTACCCGAGCGAACATTTCCTCTTCGACTTTCGAAAGAAAAATTCGCCAGAGTACATGGCATTTCATTCTACATTGAAACTGGTGAAATCAAATTTTTATTCCAAGATGCTGGATCATCCATGGAGGGCCTCTTCGATGCTCAAGACGTATTAGAAGTAATGCGAAAAGGTTTAGTCTATGGCATATTCACACTTGATCAACCGAATATCGAATATCCATCTCATCCGTTTCAAGAGATGCGATATGGACCATCAAAATTATCAGATACGCATTATCTTTCAACATTACTTCATGCCGATTATTTATTGAAAATGTTATCAACGGGCACAGAAGTTTGTTCGGAGCCACCATTCGAAATGCGTCAGACAGTCGACGGATTTCTCAAACGTTTACCTGAATGGTTGAAACAAGAACTGAAACCCATCGATGAACGGAAAGACAGTGTAATCATAGATAGTGTTCATCGATTTTGGATTGAAGCAGGAGAAATTACATATGAACACACGTTTGATGAAAACAATGGTGTTATTACTTATTATCTGAGTGATGTGCCAATGTGTGTTAAAAAACAGTTGATGAAATATGATGAAGAAGGAAATTTAATTGATAATACATCAAAACCGGACGAGGATCAAACACCGGAAGCGGAATTTGCCCGAGCATTTACAAAACATTATGAAGAAATTGGTTCGTATTTTCCTGAATTGTTACGATTAAAAGAATTGCTAAAACTCGGTGTATTGCTCATTTTTATTCGATCAACATTTGAAAATATTCAAAAACACATGAATAATCTTGATATTGAAGTTACGCCTATTAACAATTTTTTACAAGGAATTCGTAATCAACTAACCTATCCATGTGTAACAGATAACGAAATAAACCGACTTTATAATCGAATTTTAAACGAAAACAATATACAGTCATCGGCCATTTCATACAATGAGACAAATGAATTAAAAAACAAAATTAGAACGCAACTAAGCGAAGCAGATGAAACAAACTTGAATAAAGTGACTGATGTTATTTGTGAGTCTTGTCATTGTTCGAGCGACCGATACCCGGTAAAACAATATGTTTTGAATTGGTTGATGCACAACAACAAGACAAATCTTGTCAACTGTATTGTCAATTCTCTGAAAACCTTTAAACGTGAAAAATACTCAAAAATATTAGAAACAATTATTTATCTAGGAGTGAATTTGGATGAACAAACTAAGTTTTCCTTAGATAATTCTTCGACTGACTGTTCATGGGTACCTGCTGTGTTTTGCTCTAAAGAAAAAAGTCACATGAAAGTCTACGGTGGTGTGAATTTACAACCGAACCTGAAAGAAGGCAATGTCAAAAATAAAAACAGTGACCAAATTAAGCAATACGATCCTCAAAAGGTAATGAATAGTGCAGATAAACCAGCATCATCGCAAATTCAAAGTAACGGGTCATCCGGTAAGGGAGCAGGACAAAGAAGAATTGTGACTACGGCGGACAATAATGACGATGGAGGCTCAAATCGAAAACAAGGATGGAGAAAAAGAGACGAGGGAGGTAAATATTGGGTTTTCAGGTGTGCTTTAGATAAAACTACTGCTCTTTCGAACGCTCTTTCACCCAAATGTCACACAGAATTTCAGATCTTAAAGTGTTCGTATTTCTTTAATGAGATATTTCCTTACTACTGTTTAGAAAAACCTTATCATCACAGAACATTTGGTGACCAGAATGAAATTCCTCAAATAAAAGAAAACGAATATGCAGCGTGTAGAACGGAAAGACAAGCATTTAACATGGCCAAAGATCAATTTGGTGTCGCAAGAAATGCACAACCGATATTTCAAACGAAAGTCGAAGAAACGTTTAAAGGGAAGAGAACAGGATATAAATTACCATTGTATGGATATTTTGATATGCAAGGAGAACAGTTGTATACACACGAAGGAAAGACTTGTAGAAAAATTGTGTTGATTCGAAGAGATCGTGAACATGATTACAAAGATGAAAATCCAAATGGAAATCAAACGGCACACAGCAACGCTGGCGAAATTTTTATTCCAATAGGCAAGTGCTCTTCATCAAAGGAGATGAAAGCGTATGTAGATGCATTGATACAAAATTCTAAGCTGCCGAAAACCTTTTTGAAAAAACATTATTTCACTCAAACTCCATGATCCATGTCATATGAGATTAGTTTTCTCATATACAGTGTAATTATTTTTTGAATTTTCATTCTGATAAAATAAACGAAAAATTTGAGATGTAAAGTTTATTTTGGGATACGAATAGTTTCCACTATACACTAAACAATAAACGGTAGAAAGAAAAGTGGTCAAATAGCGAAGAAAAAGAAATATTTGTGGAACAGTGTTGCTGATGTGCTGAATAACAGTCTTTTAATACTGCAAATATAATCAGTAAAGTAACTTCTAAGATCTATAAAACAAAGATTAAAAAAAAGTGGTTGACAACATTTTCTTTTCTATGTGAAATTACCTTCTGTCCTTCTACTATATTTAACTATTATTATATACTATAGGAAAATATTAGAAAAAACGAATTTGGAATTGTTTTGCGTAAACGGTAACAGTCTCAAATAATTCAGAACGAATGTATACACCAAATGTTCACACTCTTCGTCGGTAAACTCGTCGATCTGTTTTTGGAATTTCCACCAACCTAAAAATTACTATTATAGACACCATTCATACACCATTCGATGCGTCTTGAAACGCTGTATAAAATGACTTAATAAGAACCTTAACGAAGCCTGGCAGCAAGTTTTATAAGTTTAATACTAGACTTTTCCATATCCCCAGGGAACTCTTGTTTCACTTTTTTCTATCATACTAAAGAGGATCTCTACTCATTCACACATAATTCGATGAAGCCCAAAAGATTTTTCTTCAAAGAAAATATGTCACAAAGAGCTCAGAGACGTCTCATTTCCTTCAGAAATGTTTGCTCTATACGAAAGAGATATCCGTAAAGAATTTCTGAATTCCGGGGACTTCGTTTTCTAAGATTTCGGTTTTCGAAAGATCCTGATTTCAAGAGTTTTGATGGAGTCCTTTAATACAACACTTTCGATCGGACATTCTTTCACCTATTCAAATCTTTTTTCAGATTTGTTCTAGCTATTATAGCGCATGTAAATATTTTCGGGCCGGAAACGCGTCTGAAAACGCGTTTTTTCCTGCATTTAATCGCTGCAAATATGCACCATTTGGCGCTATCTAGACGCGTTTGAACGCGTCTTTTTAAAATTTTTAAATTAAATTCTTTTTTTGAAAAAAGTTTTTTTTTATTGAACTAAAATTCCTATAATGAAGTTCAGGTTCTTATAGCTACTGGAGGAGGAGAGAAGAGCTTAACTGACATGAAAGAAAGACAGTCTGTAAGATTCGAAGTGAGAAAGAGTTTAAGTAATAAGAGTAGGTAGACGATGAAAGTAAATATGTTGTTTTATAGCACTCCTCCCTGAAATTCCGAGAGAAAACGTGTTTTTTAGAAACGTCTCTTTAAAACTGGTACTTCTACGCCATTTTTTTGTTAGTATTGAGCGTATTCTAAATATCTCATTAGATGTAGCACTTGGAATTTAAAACTGCTTTATTTTTCATATATTTTCTTTATTTCTAAACCAATTCTAGACTAAAGTCGAAAACGCTAAATAAGATAAGTTTGATGAATTCGAATACTTTGAGGCAATGAAATAACAATAATTTAGTGGGCCGATTTCAAGTCTTATGCAGACTACTTCTTTGAAATGAATTTCTTGTTATTGTAAAGGCAGTGTCTATAATAGTCATTTTTGTTGAATAAAGGTTGGTAATTTACTTCGTATTGTTAATTTCCGAAGTTAATTGTCCGAAATAATTGTCGAAGTTTCGAAAATATTCGGAATTTCGGCAGCTGATGAAATTCCAGAAAATTACTGCAAAAAAAGCAGAAATGCCAAATGAATTCTTTCTTTTGTCAAAATCTGTCGAAATACCAATGCAGAAATTGCGTTTGCAGAAAGGTCGAAAGTCCAAAAGCAGAAAGTGGAGTAAATCTTGATAAGGCTGCTCTCAAACTAGTTTTTAATGCCACAGGTGTGTCTGGCTACGAGAGCTCCGTATCGACCCAAACTTTTGAGCCCAGTGCAGTCCATGGACTCTTGAAATGCGGTCCAGTAAACTGAATAAATAACCCAACGGACTTTGTAAACTTCTGTATGCTCTAGAAGTGGTCCACTAGCAGCACGACCATTGTCAAGAAACATTTTGTTGCTGCCAATTTTTATTTCCTCATCGTCAGTTCTTATAAATAGCTTTAGCGTTTCTTCTCTACTACCACATCATTTGTTCTTAGGTCGCCTCCACGAGCACTAGTTTCACGTGCTCATTAACCTTTTGTTTGGTTTTCTTGCTTGAATCTTCAACTGAACTGCTTTTACACCATGGATGTTCAGACATACGAGATGTGCCACTATTCGATTTCCAGACATACGTAAAGAGATATTTTTGACAAGAAACAAAATCACCTACTCGTCTCCCGATACCACCGGGACACTGCACACATAGGAAACCAAATACTTTTAAAATCTCTGACTTTGCTGTTATATAACTTAATCATTGTCTGTTATTGCGTAATTATCGTTCAAAAACGGTGTTATTTCATCAGCAGTATACACATGAGTTCGAAATATCAGATCAGATGTTGCCATCTTCTCAACCTACAGTTTATTCAGTTTATTTAAGAAAGCCCGAATTTGGATCTGGAGTTAAGCAAGCATGGACTGCTAATGGTAGGACTTCTCTTAACATTGGATTATCTTTTTTACAATATACAGTGTATATTGTAAAAAGATAATAAAAAGTATACGTATTAAAAATTATATATAGCGTATTTTCAATACTAATTTTTCATCTTCACTTATAAGATTTCATACAGCCTAAGTTCATCGTCAGCAAAATGTACAAAGAGCTATAAAGAGAGATTATTTATACATGAAATTCGTATATAAACGAACATATGAAATAGTCCGTCTGATGGTAGTTAAAAAAAATAAACGGAACACACGATGATACTCAAACGAAGGAAGAGAAATAACAGAATAAGGGTAAAAGTAAAAGTAAATTGTAAAAGGGACTAGAGAATAAGAGATATGATTATTTCCTTTTTATTTTAATACTTTGACTGACAAATCCTTCTGGATATATTTCTCAATCTTCTCGAGTCCTTTCTAGAATTTACTTTTATGCTGTTATTCCTCGTCCTTCTCTGTTAGTATCATGTCATCGTGTGTTCCTTTTATTTTAACTGCCGTTAGACGGACTATTTCATATGTTCTTTTCGATGTACAAATTTCGTGTTTTGAATAATATCGCTCTTTATAGCTCTTTGTATGTTTTTCTGATGATGAACCTAGACAGTTCGAAACCTTAAACATGAAGATAAAAAGTGTTACTAATTCTATATAGTGTGTACTACAGAATCGCCTTTAACAAAACAAAACCAACTTGTCTTTTACCGATTTTTCCTGGATTCAAGTCCATCCAAAATTTTTTCGAGTCCAGACTAGTCTATGACCTTGAAAGTTTGAGTCCAGTCCAGACCGAGTCGATGAAACCCAAAAAATTTCAGTCCAGTCCATACGGAATTATGCTAGCTACTCCACATCCATTTCTTCATTCTCCGTCTCTTCCATGTGTTGATTTTTTCTAATTAATCTCAAATAATTTAAAACAGATGTGTACGTCAAGTGTTCGCACTCTTCGTTACTGTTGAAATTTTTTCGAATTAATGTTGAACTAATATCTACTAACGTTTTTTTTGTTTCGTCGTCAATCGGTACATAGAATACATTTTTATCTAGGATTGCCAACTGTTTTATTAATGTTTCTCGTTGTTCAGGTCGATATACAACAGCTACTCCCATTTTCAAATTTCTTAACAAATCAATTCCATTACATCTATTAAATAAATCTAGACCACTCACATAAATGACACGTACAGATTTTGGTAGTTTAAGTTTATCATTGATAAAATGATAGAGACTACAAGACACACGTTCAAAATCAATAAATCCGCTCGCTAAAATTCACGAAAGCCCATTTCTTTTCATAGTGTAGTACATTAGGTATGTCACTTACCCATACATTCAGCTCTATCTACACTCAACCACGATTCTTGTCCAGATTCTTCAATTGCTTTTTCACACATTTCAATTCGATGTTTGGACGAGATAAATTCATTCTGCAATTTACCACGAACATATTCATCATGCGTCGGTGAAATATACCCACCGAGTACATTGAAAGAATAAACTCGTTCTAAATATTCTTTCGTTTGAACTAAATTTGATATGTGAGTACGATGGACAGGATTCAATGAACCCGTTTTAAGCAATACAACATTCTCATTTTGATTATCACGTACATTCGATCGTAGAATAGCAATATTAGTTGTCTTATCAGAATGCATCTAAAAATATTACAAAAAGTATGTTCGATGATTTGACTCCCTGAGCGATGACACATGTTTCTGTGGCATAGTCAATGAGCCTTTAGAATAAGAGATATCATTCTGGTTTATGTAATCAGTATATACTGGTGAGTAAAAGTCGAAAAACGGTTGAAAAAATCTTGTTGCGCTCGTCTTTCAATGTGTGGACGTACTTAGAATCTATTAATGGCGTCAAAACGAAAACTAGACTTAGAGCGATTGTTCCTAATTCGAACCACTTTTTAGCTAGTGAAAAGTTTTTACTTTTTCCTTAAAATTTTCTTGG